AATGCCGACTGATATACCACGTGAAAGGGCTAGCCTACACCTTATTTATGCCTTACAATTCGTCTGTTTGTGTGGGATTATATCACCCTGCAGCTGAGGAATGGATAAAACATCCAACTTTGTACTTATTGATTGATATGTTGTATAAAACAAAATTGAATCTAATTATTCTGCGTTTGTCGTGCACAAGTTTAATTTTCGACCTTACCAGCGTACATGTGTAGGTAGGTTATACCGGTACGTTGTTATATTGATGGCTGTAATTACAGGTGTCTCTGTATCAACGTACTAAAATGTAATAGGAGAAATGTCTACGTTTCTGTTTACAATCTAAATATTTTATAGGTGGTGACGGCTTGCATTAAACGTTAATTATATTTGTATTACACAGAAAAAAAGTTACAAAAAATACTAGTTTTACTCCCAATGTCGACATCTTAATCGTTCTCCAATGTCTATTAGAAAAAATGTCACCCGTCACCCTACATATAATAAAGTCACAATAAAGGATCCCTTTCAGTTTATTCATTCAAATATTTAAAGGAAAATATTTCGATTTAAGGAAAGATATCCATACATATTTTTTTAACTTTATGATCAAATAAGAAAAGTTGTAGACGTATAACAACTCCTACTTGTTTGACTATCGATGGTTGTTTTGCTATATATGTACTTACTCTAAAGTCTATCGTGACCTGTGTAACCTTTTAACTCTCGTGTTGATAACGTAGGTGTATAGTAAGTGAGACCCTTTCTCTGTAATTAGCTACCAATCTATTCACATTTTACCCTTACTTGTTGTCAAGATGCGAAAGCGCATGCGCGCGAAAAGCATTGCGAACAGAAAATAAGAAAATGTCCAGGATTCTACTGTTTCTGTGTTTTGTTCTTTACCTCGCGAAAAGAACAGGTAAGATGTATTTTAATTTAGACTATCGTGAATCAATACAATGTGGTTTTTTACACCGGTTCATTTTTCTTCCTTTTGTCTAGTTCTTTTGATCTTGTGTGATAAGTTGACGTTTTATGAGTGATAGAGATATAACTACAGTTTGCAAAGTTATATTAATGTTCTATTTCAGTATTAGGCGCGTTATCTAGCATCAGTTAAGACACACATACATCCTTTAAAATCTCATAACAATTTGTTGTGGTAAAATGATAACACAAAACGCTGCTATTGAAATAAACAAAACATGGAACGCGCCAAGAGAGCGAAACTGTATAAATCGTTGTGAGGGGAGAGGGGAAGTTGTTCTGTTATAATCGTTGTGAGGGGAGAGGGGAAGGTTTTTCTGTTATAATTGTTGTGAGAGGAGAGGGGAAGTTGTTCTGTTATAATTGTTGTGAGAGGAGAGGGGAAGTTTTTCTATTATAATTGTTGTGAGGGGAGAGGGGAAGTTATTCTGTTATAATTGTTGTGAGAGGAGAGGGGAAGTTGTTCTGTTATAATTGTTGTGAGAGGAGAGGGGAAGTTGTTCTGTTATAATTGTTGTGAGAGGAGAGGGGAAGTTTTTCTGTTATAATTGTTGTGAGGGGAGAGGGGAAGTTATTCTGTTATAATTGTTGTGAGGGGAGAGGGGAAGGTTTTTCTGTTATAATTGTTGTGAGAGGAGAGGGGAAGTTGTTCTGTTATAATTGTTGTAAGAGGAGAGGGGAAGTTTTTCTGTTATAATCGTTGTGAGGGGAGAGGGGAAGTTATTCTGTTATAATTGTTGTGAGGGGAGAGGGGAAGTTGTTCTGTTATAATTGTTGTGAGGGGAGAGGGGAAGTTTTTCTGTTATAATTGTTGTGAGGGGAGAGGGGAAGTTGTTCTGTTATAATTGTTGTGAGGGGAGAGGGGAAGTTGTTCTGTTATAATTGTTGTGAGGGGAGAGGGGAAGTTGTTCTGTTATAATTGTTGTGAGGGGAGAGGGGAAGTTGTTCTGTTATAATTGTTGTGAGGGGAGAGGGGAAGTTTTTCTGTTATAATTGTTGTGAGGGGAGAGGGGAAGTTGTTCTGTTAAAATTGTTGTGAGGGGAGAGGGGAAGTTGTTCTGTTATAATTGTTGTGTGGGGAGAGGGGAAGTTGTTCTGTTATAATTGTTGTTCTGTTATAATTGTTGTGTGGGGAGAGGGGAAGTTGTTCTGTTATAATTGTTGTGTGGGGAGAGGGGAAGTTGTTCTGTTATAATTGTTGTGTGGGGAGAGGGGAAGTTGTTCTGTTATAATTGTTGTGAGACGAAAGAGAAAGTTTCTCCGTGTTATTCGTTGTGAGAAGAGAGGGAAACTTCTCAGTACTAATTGTTGTGACAAGAGAGGGGAACTTCTCAGTACTAATTGTTGTGACAAGAGAGGGGAACTTGCTTGTATTTATTGTTGTGACAAGAGAGGGGAACTTCTCAGTACTAATTGTTGTGACAAGAGAGGGGAACTTCGCAGTACTAATTGTTGTGACAAGAGAGGGGAACTTGCCTGTATTTAATGTTGTGACAAGAGAGGGCAACTTCTCAGTACTAATTGTTGTGACAAGAGAGGGGAACATGCCAGTACTAATTGTTGTGACAAGAGAGGGGAATTTCCCAGTACTAATTGTTGTGACAAGAGAGGAGAATTTCCCACTACTAATTGTTGTGACCAGAGAGGGGATCGTCAGTACTAATTGTTGTGACAAGAGAGGAGAATTTCCCAGTACTAATTGTTGTGACAAGAAAGGGGAACATGCCAGTACTAATTGTTGTGACAAGAGAGGGGAACTTCTACTAATTGTTGTGACAAGAGAGGAGAATTTCCCAGTACTAATTGTTGTGACAAGAGAGGAGAATTTCCCACTACTAACTGTTGTGACCAGAGAGGAGAATTTCCCAGTACTAATTGTTGTGACAAGAGAGGAGAATTTCCCACTACTAACTGTTGTGACAAGAGAGGAGAATTTCCCAGTACTAATTGTTGTGACAAGAGAGGAGAATTTCCCACTACTAACTGTTGTGACAAGAGAGGAGAATTTCCCACTACTAACTGTTGTGACAAGAGAGGAGAATTTCCCACTACTAACTGTTGTGACAAGAGAGGAGAATTTCCCAGTACTAACTGTTGTGACAAGAGAGGAGAATTTCCCAGTACTAACTGTTGTGACAAGAGAGGAGAATTTCCCAGTACTAACTGTTGTGACAAGAGAGGAGAATTTCCCACTACTAACTGTTGTGACAAGAGAGGAGAATTTCCCAGTACTTATTGTTGTGACAAGAGAGGAGAATTTTCCACTACTAACTGTTGTGACAAGAGAGGAGAATTTCCCACTACTAACTGTTGTGACAAGAGAGGAGAATTTCCCAGTACTAATTGTTGTGACAAGAGAGGAGAATTTCCCAGTACTAATTGTTGTGACAAGAGAGGAGAATTTCCCAGTACTAATTGTTGTGACAAGAGAGGAGAATTTCCCAGTACTAATTGTTGTGACAAGAGAGGGGTCCCAGTACTAATTGTTGTGACAAGAGAGGAGAATTTCCCAGTACTAACTGTTGTGACAAGAGAGGAGAATTTCCCAGTACTAATTGTTGTGACAAGAGAGGAGAATTTCCCAGTACTAATTGTTGTGACAAGAGAGGAGAATTTCCCAGTACTAATTGTTGTGACAAGAGAGGAGAATTTCCCAGTACTAATTGTTGTGACAAGAGAGGAGAATTTCCCAGTACTAACTGTTGTGACAAGAGAGGAGAATTTCCCACTACTAACTGTTGTGAGAAGAGAGGAGAATTTCCCAGTACTAACTGTTGTGACAAGAGAGGAGAATTTCCCAGTACTAATTGTTGTGACAAGAGAGGAGAATTTCCCACTACTAACTGTTGTGACCAGAGAAGAGAATTTCCCAGTACTAATTGTTGTGACAAGAGAGGAGAATATTTTCTGTTGTACATGTTATTGCAGGTTTAACTTACAAAGGCTAAATTACTAAGACCACGCGTTGCTATTCTTTTTGTGAGATTTGTAATTATTGTGCAAAATGCATTTTTAAAAATAATTAATGAAAACCTATATATAACCGATACCTAATCAATACCGTTCCCGCTTGCTTTCCAGTGCTGTGTTTAACTTTGAAATAACTAGGTTTCAGGACATATTAAATAGCAATAAGTTAAAAAACAAAACAAAAAAACAAGGACATAAGCTAAAACATATGCGAAAGGGATTTCCAGATTATTTGGAATTCAAATTGTCATTACTTATTTTCAGCGCGCTAAATCTCCAAAGAAATCGGAATAAGCTTATCCTAAACCTAGCGTTTATAACCAATCCTGTAAGTGCATAGGTGGTGAATCAGTTTCTGTCACAAAGAATATTAATCTCATGCACTTGTATTTTCCGTAGCTAAAGTTTTCATTTCTTTGGTGATAACATCCTGTTATACAGGTGGTTGCCTGTGTCCTAAAATCATTTTGCAGTGTTTTGTATGTACGGTGTTGTATGTACGGAGTTGTATGTACTGAGGTGTACGCAGGTGTGTGTACGGAGGTGTACGGAGTTATGTACGGAGGTGTATGTACGGTGGTGTATGTACGGAGGTGTACGGAGGTGTATGTACGGAGGTGTATGTACGTTGGTGTATGTACAGTGGTGTATATACGGAGGTGTATGTACGGTTGTGTATGTACGGAGGTGTACGGAGTTGTATGTACGGAGTTGTATGTGCGGAGTTGTATGTACGGTGGTGTATGTACGGAGGTGTGCGGAGTTGTATGTACGGAGCTGTATGTACGGAGGTGTATGCACGGAGTTGTATGTACGGTGGTGTACATACATTTGAATGGCCACAGAAATAATGCGTATGTCATTGGTTGTTGTTACCTATATCGACTTTAAAGTGAGATATGAGATATTCTTCTAATTGCTACCTTCCCCATCCCAGTCAACATTGCTCTTAGATTCTATACTGCTCGGGTCAGTTTTTACTGGGTGAGATAATTACATCCTCTCCTCCCGGACACGTGTTCAGAAATGGTAGGATTAAACTGATGAACAGCATGCCTGACCTTCACCAGAATGACCTTCAGATCTTGGCACGTCGGGAAAAGATTTTACCTGTATGTGTCAATGATAGAAAAGACATGGGTCATTACATAGAAATGTTTCTTATTGGCCCCGAAACTGTCCAAAATAATTGATTTATATTCACACGAATTTTGATGAAGGATCAGTGCTCGGTCTATATGGATCTCACAACTGTACCATAGTTCTCACGTGTTTTCTGAAGACAGTCAGGATATACACGTATAATTGATGATGTTCTAAAATTATCTGATAAAGTAAAGTAACCAATTTTATCTAATCATGGGATTAGTGCACCTCCCATCTAGATCGTGACTTTATTTTCGATCATTTCGGATTTTCTCAGTCGCCTCCTAGAGTTAAAAAATTAGGTCCTTAGTATCACTGCCGATTCTTAGAAGGACGAATCAGCTGTATGATGCAGTATCACTGCCGAGTCTTAGAAGGACGAAATAGCTGTATGATGTAGCATCACTGCCGAGTCCTAGAAGGATGAAACAGCTGTATGATGTAGCATCACTGCCGAGTCCTAGAAGGACGAATCAGCTGTATGATGTAGCATCACTGCCGAGTCCTAGAAGGACGAATCAGCTGTATGATGTAGCATCACTGACGAGTCCCAGAAGAACGAAACAGCTGTATGATGTAGCATCACTGACGAGTCCTAGAAGGACGAATCAGCTGTATGATGTAGCATCACTGCCGAGTCCTAGAAGGACGAATCAGCTGTATGATGTAGCATCACTGACGAGCCTAGAAGGACGAAATAGCTGTATGATGTAGCATCACTGCCGAGTCCTAGAAGGACGAATCAGCTGTATGATGTAGCATCACTGCCGAGTCCTAGAAGGACGAATCAGCTGTATGATGTAGCATCACTGCCGAGTCCTAGAAGGACGAAATAGCTGTATGATGAAGTTTACTACTCTGAATATGTATCAAAATGTGCTATTCACTTGTGTGTCTTTTGTACGATCTTTCAAGCCTATGCTAAATAAATCTTTATATGATGATAAAGTGATAAGCAGTTTTTACTGAAGTTTCTGGTATAAGGTCGATCATAGACCGTATTGTAGATATCTGTTCCCTGCACAATGGGTCACTTTAGCCATTTTTTTTGACAAAATAGTACGATGATTCAGAAAGCAAAATGTCGTCTTAGGAATATCGTTATTGTTTTTGTTGATATTTTCCTCAGATTCTTTACGATGTTACGCATGCGCAGACTCTGGAAATTGTGAAACATCCTATGATGCTTTGATACATAACAGAGACAAGGGAGGCAACTTAAACAGGAACTGTTCAGCTCCTAATCAACACTATTGTATGATAGAAAGCATCAAAAAGGAAGGTAAGTGTTATAAAAGTGCTACCGGATCACTCACCCAGGTTAAACCAACAATAACATGTCTCTTCAAAGTTCAACCAGTTCAAACTATTCGTACCACTAAAAGTACACCCAGCATTAAAATGATCAGAATGATATGGGGTCATATTATATCTTGATATGTGTTAAAATGTTTTTCCTTTTGTAATCTAACCTCTGCACTTTATTAGTGATTTGACATCTGATGTGTTTTGTTATAACGAATTTGTCAGTTTTTAACTGTCTGCTATAATATAACGTAGAATTTGTCAGTTTTTAACTGTCTGCTATACTATAACGTAGAATTCCTTTTTATCGCCTTTCAATCGTTCTATTTTATCTCTGCTTCAATACTTAATTACGGAAGCCTGCTAGTGCCACTTGTGAAAGTATCTTATGTGACGGAGAAATTAAGTGGCATGCGCCATATAAAATATTTGCCACCAGTGGCACGGGCAGGTTTCAGTACTTTATAGTTATAAAATAAGTATGTCTTCTAACAACCTTTGTAACACATACAGATGTATCAGGGAGATGAATGTATCAGGGAGATGTATGTATCAGGGAGATGAATGTATCACGGAGATGTATGTATCAGGGAGATGTATGTATCAGGGAGATGAATGTATCAGGGAGATGAATGTATCAGGGACATGAATGTATCACGGAGATGTATGTATCAGGGAGAAGAATGTGTCACGGAGATGAATGTATCAGGGAGATGTATGTATCAGGGAGATGTATGGGGAGATGTATGTATCAGGGAGATGTATGTATCAGAGAGATTTATGTATCACGGAGAAGAATGTATCAGGGAGATGAATGTATCAGGGAGATGAATGTATCAGGGAGATGTATGTATCAGGGAGATGAATGTATCACGGAGATGTATGTATCAGGAAGATGTATGTATCAGGGAGATGAATGTATCAGGGAGATGTATGTATCACGGAGATGAATGTATCAGGGAGATGAATGTATCAGGGAGATGAATGTATCAGGGAGATGAATGTATCAGGGAGATGAATGTATCAGGGAGATGAATGTATCAGGGAGATGAATGTATCAGGGAGATGAATGTATCAGGGAGAATGTATCAGGGAGATGAATGTATCAGGGAGATGAATGTATCAGGGAGATGAATGTATCATGGGAGATGTATGTATCACGGAGATGAATGTATCAGGGAGATGAATGTATCAGGGAGATGAATGTATCAGGGAGATGAATGTATCACGGAGATGAATGTATCAGGGAGAAGAATGTGTCACGGAGATGAATGTATCAGGGAGATGAATGTATCAGGGAGATGAATGTATCAGGGAGATGAATGTATCACGGAGATGAATGTATCAGGGAGATGAATGTATCAGGGAGATGAATGTATCAGGGAGATGAATGTATCAGGGAGATGATGTATCAGGGAGAAGAAATGTATCACGGAGATGAATGTATCAGGGAGATGAATGTATCAGAGAGATAAATGTATCACGGAGATGAATGTATCAGGGAGATGAATGTATCAGGGAGATGTATGTATCAGGGAGATGAATGTATCAGGGAGATGAATGTATCAGGGAGATGAATGTATCAGGGAGATGAATGTATCAGGGAGATGAATGTATCACGGAGATGAATGTATCAGGGAGATGAATGTATCAGGGAGATGAATGTATCAGGGAGATGAATGTATCAGGGAGATGAATGTATCACGGAGATGAATGTATCAGGGAGATGAATGTATCAGGGAGATGTATGTATCACGGAGAAGAATGTGTCACGGAGATGAATGTATCAGGGAGATGTATGTATCAGGGAGATGTATGTATCAGGGAGATGAATGTATCAGGGAGATGTATGTATCAGGGAGATGTATGTATCAGGGAGATGAATGTATCAGGGAGATGAATGTATCACAGAGATGTATGTATCACGGAGATGAATGTATCAGGGAGATGAATGTATCAGGGAGATGAATGTATCAGGGAGATGAATATATCAGGGAGATGAATGTATCACGGAGATGAATGTATCAGGGAGATGAATGTATCACGGAGATGAATGTATCAGGGAGATGAATGTATCACGGAGATGTATGTATCACGGAGATGAATGTATCAGGGAGATGTATGTATTACGGAGATGAATGTATCAGGGAGATGTATGTATCAGGGAGATGAATGTATCAGGGAGATGAATGTATCAGGGAGATGTATGTATCAGGGAGATGAATGTATCACGGAGATGTATGTATCAGGGAGATGAATGTATCACGGAGATGTATGTATCAGGGAGATGTATGTATTACGGATGTGAATGTATCAGGGAGATGTATGTATCAGGGAGATGAATGTATCAGGGAGATGTATGTATCAGAGAGATTTATGTATCACGGAGAAGAATGTGTCACGGAGATGAATGTATCAGGGAGATGTATGTATCAGGGAGATGAATGTATCAGGGAGATGAATGTGTCACGGAGATGTATGTATCACGGAGATGTATGTATTACGGAGATGAATGTATCAGGGAGATGTATGTATCAGGGAGATAAATGTATCAGGGAGATGTATGTATCAGGGAGATGTATGTATCAGAGAGATTTATGTATCACGGAGAAGAATGTGTCACGGAGATGAATGTATCAGGGAGATGAATGTATCAGGGAGATGAATGTGTCACGGAGATGTATGTATCACGGAGATGTATGTATTACGGAGATGAATGTATCAGGGAGATGTATGTATCAGGGAGATTAATGTATCACGGAGATGTATGTATCAGGTAGTATCAGGGAGATGTATGTATCACGGAAACCTGTTTCTTCCTGTACTTTTTCAAAGAATTATACCGCTGTTGCCCTTTATTATTCTTTTGAATTCGGATTAACAAGTTTGATGTGTTTCCACCACCAGACAAAGATGTCAGCTTCATCAGAGATTGCAGTGATGGACATACATTTTCATACAACGACATTCCCCGTCTAAAGACAGTGATGCCAAACAACCAATCAACGTGCGCCTACTATCAGGCGTATGTGATCTGCATCTCCGTTTGTCGAACAGACTTTTGTAACGGTCCACAGGAGGGAATATCACGTGCCGGGGGTATGAACAACGCATGGGCACTGACGTTAACACTTTTAATGTGTTGGATTATCCATTGGTGTGGTTTATTTGACCATGCTGTACACAGAGGGTCAGATGAATAAATGACAGACAAGTTGTTCAACAGATTAATGATACATAAATGCTATGTTAGTAGATATTGATCGTGGAAGTTTTCTGAAATGGTACGGCCGTGTAACTTGCGTGTAACTGACGTTTAAGTGAGTGTAAATGAGTGTAACTGACATGTAACTGACGTGTAGCTGAGTGTAACTTACGTGTAACTGAGTGTAAGTGACGTGTAACAGACGTGTAAGTGTGTGTAACTGACGTGTAAGTGCGTGTATGCTTGCTATTAAAACAGAATGCATTTGTTGTTGTTATTTCTATTTTCTATGTGTAAAGAAACAGCCAACAGATAGTTTGTTGATATTGTTTTATGACAGAGTTTGTATGAGAATCGATACATGACGAAGTCACAAGAATTATTCGTAGTAGTCATAGACACATAAAAAAGTTATACATTTTTACAAACCAAGTAACAAAATCTTTTGTTTTAATTTTTCCCTATGAAGCACGTGTTCTTTTGTGTGTAGATAATTATTAATTTTTGTTTCTGTATTTCTTGAATTGTTGTGGAATATTTCACAATTTTTTCGATGAGAATTGAGAATGTACTGGTTGTTAGCGTAGATCATGCAAATTTTCTATGCCAATATTTTATAGGGGTTGCCTCCCTTGAACTACAGAGCTCAACTATTATGCTCAGTATTTTTTTTATGTAAATAGTAACATATAAACTTGATACAGTGTGTACCCGTGTTATCAGTATCGATTATTTGTCCTGGTGCTGTACCATGTAATTACTTACCGTATTAATATAATCGACTTTTCCTGTCCTAATCCTCCCAACATTATCAGAAAACCCTTCGGCTAATAAACCGGATTGATCTAGCCATATCATTTCGTCTATGTTGACAACCAACACCAGGCAGGGATATTATCTTTACAATAATGAACTGTTCAACTAAAAAAAATGAATAATATTAACACAAACTTGGTATTCTAGTAGAGTAGTCATATGGTAATTCTGTATTTTATGAGGTAGTTTAGAATTTTCACTTGCATGTCCTCCCCTATCTATCAAACTCCCTTATCTGTTTGTAGAGAATCGTACAATATCGATATAACATGTAAATCCCCGACCACTCCCTATAGGACGGTAAATGTGAACAAAAGTAAACAAAAATAATTCAATTAAAGGAAAAACAATGTTCACAAACATTATACTCACTGATACCAAACTTTCTTGCTTATAAGCGTGGTCTCTATAAAAATCCTGTTGTGAACCCATTCTATCTTTTTGTGTGATATGAAGTTCAGATGTGTTCGATGTTTGTTGCCTTGTGATTCAGTAGTTCTTGGCCCGAATGATTTTTTATTTCTTAGCTCACGTTTTGTCCACTTTTTCCTCGATTTCGAATTTTGAATTATGATTCATTATTTGGTACATTTTTTTATAATCAAAAATTGTAACAACATGTGCTGTTCTCCCGAATGTCTTGTACATTCCTCCAGATCGCAGGTGGTAGACACTGTTGATGAACATTTAGTCCCTGTGTTTTAATTAACACACCTGTACTTGACGTTTTTTTGAAATGATCACATGCAAGTTATAAAATTTACTAGTAATGAATAATGAGGTCTGTTCACCCATCCATCCAGATTTTGATATTTTTCTCAATCTTTTTGTATTTCACTCATGTATCTCATAGTTTTCATGATTTAATCCCTTCTTGGCTCCACCGAATCCGAGAAGGACGAAACAGCCGTATGACTGGTTAAATACATTGTTAGGTTCTACTGTATCAAAACCGTCTAAATTTGTATCGTATCAAAAGGTGATATTCACTTGTGTCTCTCGTACAGCCTCCATGACATGTCGGAAATTTCCAGTTGTTTATTTACGGTGTCTTATGTTACCGTTTCGGTTACATTGCAGCAATCTGTATCACTTGTTGTCAGCTGTTTAATGTCTCGTATCAATAACTAAACCAACAGCTAATCAAAAATATGTTTTATTTGGCTAATTCATAAACCAACATCGCTTATCCCAACAATGGGACAAAATGCAAGTAGTATAGTACACATTACATATAAGGAAAACAAATAAATCCAGATTTGTATATATAGCTAATAAGCATTTCATCAGACACAGTATCACAAGTACGCACCATATGATGACGTCGTACGCAAAAATACAAAATGTGAAAAAAAATCTGATCAGCTTTGTTTTGTATAGAACGAAGAATAATTTCAATGGTAGGTGTTTGATTTGTTAAAATAGCAGAAAGCACAACGCGTGGCAAATCTTTTCAAAGCAGATGACATCGTCATTTGGATTCGCACTATATAAAATAGATTAAAAATAAACAAAATGAGTTTAAATCTAGACATACAACAAAATATATGGGGTAGGAGTTGAAGGCGGGACATGGGACATTCACATTTATCTGGGACTAATGGGCATACATTGATATTTTCATCAAGACCGGAGCGGAAAACTGAGACGAGAAAGCTAAAAAGAATTGATTTGTCAGACGTCATTTAGAAATTACCCCGTGTTCCACCGGTCAGTGAAACACCACAGCAGGAGCTTTGGTTATTTACCATACAGGCTTGCACTAAAACGTGCTTACAAGATTTTTTTTTTCGTGTGCGTCTTGGTGTTTGCTTCTCTAGCTGTGACCACACAAACACTGAGAATTATACCGACCTAAAGTTGACCCTGTGGTTGGCAAGCGAGGGAACAAAGGGTGATTGCAAAAGGGCAAGATATTCAAAATATGCAAAACAGCGAAATACAATCTACCTTATTAGTAATGATCTATGCAATTAACATGTTATTGATTATATGTAAAAAAAAATTATAGATTAAGTCGCAATGATGGAATGTGAGACTAAATATAACAAACTAACGAATATGAAATGTATATAAATGAAAAAGACAAACACATAATTACTAGGTACAGTTTGTAGAATCTTGCTTTTAACATAGTTATACCAATATTCAGCACACATACATATTGCAAAATAAACTCGATTTGTGTGATAGAGATAACATGGATACCCTCTGAATGATCATGCCAATATATTTCTTTCTGTCCATTTGTTTTTAAATTTACACTACAAATGAATGGAATTCTAAAGAGTTAAAATATATTAATACATTAATTTCACAGTATTAGCCACTACTTAAGTATTTTAATCACAATCTCGAAATCGAGTTTATGAAATTAATTTTTTTTCAAACTTTTTTAAACGCGATTTTTACATAACGTATTAACCAACAAAGGCCACATACCAAGTATGAAGCAAATTCTATTCCATCTAACATAAAAAACGAAATGAATAAAAGGGCATACATGTGCGTACACCTCTTTCATTTAATTCGAGTTAAGCACCTGCCAAATACGTAAATTATACTGATAAGCACAAACTTCGGGATATCTCTATCCTCGCCGTATTTACAAATAGTTATATATCAGGTAAATTATGCATGATAACGTATTTCAGGAAACTGTTAAATATCACGTGATATAAAAACGCACAGATCCCGGGTAATGTGACACATCGCATATTGAAATGACAGGTCATTATACTGAGTTTCCATGACAACGTCGGACAAATGCCAATCATATGACAACATATGAAATGGTCTTATCGGGGCTGTGGGTGATTACAGCGTTATCTTTGCTAATTAGGGGAGATAACGCTGTGTACATACCATTTAGGAATGGAATTTTACACAAACATGATATCTCTATAAGCTCTGTCTTAATTTTGCATGTTATTAGTGGGGATAAAATCCAATTGCATTGTCTGGACGCAAAACTAACTACGGATCTACACCAGTTCCGGCCAGACCTATATAGATGTCTGGTTACATGTATTCTACATCAGGAAGACAGGCCCACCCTAGTTGCTTAATTTTAGCATTTAACTTTCATGTCATGACCCTTACCTATGATGTCACTTGTGTGATTTATCATGTGTTAAGCCGTAAAATGGGAATACATCATTTATAATCCTGTGTTATAAAATCTATTTAATTAAAGCATTTGGAAATCTACATTTAACTGAACTAACAGTGCATATTAGACATGTCCGCACCCAAAAAGTAGCACTTCAATGTTCCACAATGACGTTAACGCCGAACAAAAAAAAATCTTACCTTTATTTCGTTCTACATCGTATCATATGGTGCTACTTAAATCGACATAAAACCATGAAAATGTAATGTGAAAATCGAGCATTTTTGTTGTGACCAATACAAGGTATTTCTTAATGGTGATCAGATATTGCAAATCCCACATGTAGTACACCACAGTGATTTCTGAATTACATGATTTAATTACAATGGTCGTCCATGATGCTCACCAGCTGTTTTTGTGGATCATATCTCAATTGAGCATAACTTCGATATAAGTTCACGTGTCATGATGATAACAAATTAACAATCGAGAAAATAACAGCAAGACATCACTGTTTCAGGACATTTATCATTTAAAAAGTATGACATTAATGAAAAAATAATTGTTTCACACAGTAAGATTGATGAATTGATCCCCGGAGGCTAACAATACATATGTATTAAACCAAAATGTTCAATAAAATCCACACACGTTCATACAATACTTCTGTTCACTCATACTTTAATACCTAGTTCCACCGCGAACGACGTTATTGTCTCAAGAGACATGTTACTTCACAGAGTGTATTATTCCATCAAACTTTGACTATAAAAATTACATTTAGGTTCGGATACATTTTTATTATCCGCCATGAAACAATCAATATGTTCTTTTTAGATGTTCAACTAAAAGAAAAAAAAATCCTTCAGGGAATTAATTAGAATCCATAGTGAACAAGGTCCTTTGATAAAACACCTCCATTGTAAATAAGCATTATGTCACAGCTGTCCTTCATTCAGCTACTTTCTTGTGGTTGAACTTAAAACGATCCACATCGAGTGCGGCTGTTCCATGAAGAAATTCTTCCCTATGAATAAAACTTAAGACGAAGAGACATTTAAACTTTCAGGAAAATTCGTCAAACAAGATGTTCTCGTCTTTAAATCCAGTAGTTCGTCGTTTTATTTCAACCACATCGACAGATACTTTGATGTCAGCACTTTACATATACCAAGCTTTGTTCTATGAAAGTTTTTTATGCATGCATTTACGCAAACACATATACCGCTGTATGCTGAAGCCTCAGCACAACCATCATACATATACTCATGATTTCTACTCGGGATCTTTGATCCGCTTAACAAAATGAATGAAACGTTGAACACAATAGAGATGGTCGCCTGTCGTGTTTTATCATGTGGTGTGACCTTTCACAGTTGACCCTTTGATCACGAACTAGCCTGTATAGGGAAAGACATCGCACGATTGAATGGAACTACAACGTGCACGTGACCCGCCTCGTCTATGACTGGCGCACTAGGACTTGGTCTATCTCTATATATAGCACCCGCCTCTTGCGGTTGTAGGTCAAGGGCGTCCTTTCCAGACATGCTCTCCTCTTTAGATGGTGATGATTCAAGGTTTAACAGTTTGTCTTTTGTTTCGTTATTTTCTTGTTTGTTTGCTTTGCCATGTTCGTTGTTTTTACCACAGCTTGAACACGGGAATATCGACGACAGGAGTCCGTTGCTGTAGCTCGACTTTGGCTTCCGTTTCTTCACCACACCATTCTCTAATTGTGCTTCAGCGTCAATGACCACTTCCGGGTAGCCTATTGAAACAGACCGAGATATTGTTATATTAACAAAGAACCAAATAAGGTATTGAGGAAACGGCTCTAGGATGTCGTCATCTAGTGGTAATGTTATAGTGATTGTGAGGCACTTTTCGGAAATGAGTGAACAGGTGTAAAGCTGGTTGTTACTAACATGCCTTGTTTATTCGCACAATTCATTTTAAGGTAATTAAACTTTTATTGTCACAATCTAATCACTTTCATTCTTTTTAAAATTTGTATCGAAAAGTGTTATTCACTGATATTTTGCAAAATCCTTTTAGATCGAATATGATAAACACTGTTGCAGGACTTTCAGCCACATGAACGTATCTTTAAACGAACACTAACAGATGAAATTTACCTTCTCTGAATTTGTTACAGATCTCATACACAATGTCTTCCCGTCTACACTGTTTTAGACATCTGAACAGGAACTGTACAGATTGTGCCGTCTCACCCATGTACTCACGCCAATCCTGAAGGTAGCCATTCACGGCAAACTTACACTCTTTGTCTGAAATAATTCAAAATCGATATCAGCCAATTAAAGAAAGATTAATCAACCAATACCAATTATACAAATATGGTAATCATCAATTGATTACATAAAATCCACAAACAGCTTGTTATCAGTACAAATAACATAATACTGGCGATATTTACTTTAAATAAAATTTTTAAAAATCACAATAATTATATTCTTTCAATTAGGAATTACCCGATGCTTATTGATTAGAACCGTGACAAAGGACAAGAGATTCACACAGACCTGTCATGCTACTTTGTAAATATTTCAGGTTGATTCAAACATATCTTATTGCACATAACTAGCAATAGGATTGGGCACAAGTTTTACTACTTATATAAAGCCCTTTCCAAACATATCAATACACACACATTATATTTTCAAGGTAGCAGTAGGATATAATAACAATGAAACAATTATAGACAAGTTGAAAGAGAGAGAGGGAGAGAGAGAGGGGGGAGGGAGGGAGGGAGAGGAGGGGGAGGGAGAGAGAGAGAGAGAGGGAGAGAGAGAGAGAGAGAGAGAGAGAGAGAGAGAGAGAGGGAGAGAGGGAGAGAGAGAGGGAGAGAGAGAGAGAGAGAGAGAGAGAGAGAGAGAGAGAGAGAGAGAGAGGGGGGGGGTGGGGGTTGGGGGTTGGTGGAAGGAGGGGGATGAGGTGTATAACACGAGCTTTATACTTTGTATATATGTAGATCATCCATCAGGTTGAGAATTGAGGTTTATGGTGAAGTAAACTTGTCCCTGATTTGTACCTTTATACTTATCGACGATGACTTCGTACATGGCGGGTTGGTAGTGGTTCCGGAACAGTTCCTGGGCGAGTGACCATTTCTGTCGGTCTATCCTGTCTTCTATCTCCCGGAACGACGCACTCAGCACTGGAGAGATAATTAAAACGGTCAGTGACAGAACAACCACAGCTCCATAGCTCAGTCGATACACCAAGTCATCCTCAGAGTAATATCATTTTATAATACTCGGCACCATGTTTGATGAAAACAATTCTCAAGTTTTCTCCAATCATAGTAACCTCCCACGCTTTCACCGCGACGGAAAGGTTTAATTAATTTCTCGTTTCGTATTTTTTTAATAGACTAAGTGTATCGTTATGTTTATAATCTTGATGAAATTTTGAGTCATAATATTTACACAAAAGTATAAACACTACATGAAGCATTAACCATCCATAAATCACTGTAGAAACAATGGTATGTCTACGGAATTCCAACTTAAACTCATGAGATTAGGACAAGATATAAACCACAGTGGTTACTTGTATATAATATCTAAGAACAGCCATCAATGATTAGACATGTAGGAGGTACAACCTTTCCTTAGGACCCTGTACTCTAGCTAATCTGATATTCAAGCACAGATTTACGATATCAGCATTTCCGAGAGGAATAAATTAAAATAAGAACAAAATAAACAAGATGAATGGCGATGATAACAGACATTTTTATGATGTCATCTCCTTACATCGACGTAGATCTGTCAAATCATCCTTGCGAGTTGAATTTGAGAAGACGACGCTGACATTTCATAACCCCCACCCCACCCTCCGATATCAGAGTAAATCTTTCTTATAATCGTATTTCACTTGTCCTCGTTTGATGGAGTTAAGGATCAGGACTATGTTTATGGTCTTGTAGGTACACTATTACCGATATCTTACATCCTTGTAACTGATGTCGCTTTTGATTGGGAAATTACGACTAATTTGCCGCTATAAACATCATCATTGGACTCTATAGGATTCTTGTCCTGAGAAACTTTATTCGACAATAAATATGTTAAGATGACTTATCGGCTTTTTCAGCAGTCATTTATAATTCAAAAAACACGATAAGATATATCTACGTTTAAGCCATAATAATAAATTCTTGGTGGACAAAAATAAGAATTTACCTGGAGTTGTTCGAGCAGAAATCCTTGGTTGAATTAGAGCTTAAATTACTTAGGTATACCCTTCATAAACAGATAAGGTAAGGAGGGAAAACATTCCAGATGTGACAGACTTATAATTATCTCTAGATATCAAAATCTCAAATTACCTACAATTTACCTACATAAACTTGGGCGACGTTTGACACGACAGAAAACACTGATTTTACTTCACTGAATCTCGATCATTAGTCACGCCGTGTTGTTCTAGTGTATTGTCACGCTATTCTAATGTCCATCTCTCTATACCTACATAAAACCCTCTCCTCGTGTGTCCACTACTAGTAAAGATAGGTTACACTCTCGCAGCGTCCTTAACTTATGTTATCACAACATGCCTGCATGTCAGCTTCATCAAAAATTTACAATCAATATCTGTGATCCAAATTATTATTTAATTATAAACCACAGATTGATTTTAGATTGAATATTTTATAATACTAACATGGCTTCTCTAAAATAAAAGTTAAAACCAATATACTTCTCTACTTCCTGACATCTACTAAACTAACAAGGGACAGTATCACTGACGTGGTATTGCGTGTTGTAGATAATCTACCGTGATCAGTTTCATTGAGACTTATGGTCGACTTATTTATCTTTATATATACATTTGATTAAATACTTAGCTTGATATATGTCCGTCTAAACACTGGCACGAAAGATACCAGATACATGTCTTGTTCCATAAATCAAACATATCGTAGCCCTAACGTTTCCCTGATACTCACATATTCAGCGGACATAGCTGAAGTCTGGTATTAACAGCAAACTGTACTTGCTTTCCATTTACATATCTAAACTGTTTCGTTACTCCCCGTCTCATTTTCCCGCTTTCTCTCTCTTTTCTGATAATATATCGTCTACTTGACGAATTTTTAAAATCGTAAAACTTTATAATAAGCATAATCATAACACTACAGTTCCTAACAAAACAATTGTTAAAATAATGAAAAGTTAACCTCTTGACCTTACCTTTCTTACAATACGCCTCCTCTTCGTCCGATTTCTCAATTATTCTTTCCATTAACTTTTTAAACTGGTCCTCAGTAAGTGGATCCTCTACATGTCGCGATTGTCGTCGACGCCTTAGACAGATGAAGATTAAAATGATGAAGAGAATGAGAACGACAGATCCAACAACGAGACCAATGATTGCCCCTGTACCCAGAATGCCTTGATCGTTTCCCACTCCGTTGTCAGCAGTGGCATTTTCACATTTTGAGACATCTGTAAGGAATGAAACAGTAGGGCATAATTAACATTCTACGCTTTATTTTACTGTTAAGAGAATTTTTTAATATATCAATAATTAACAACAATTGCGAAACAAGCTTTTATAAATAACTATTGTTGGCCTGGATGGTAGCTCGCGAGAAGTCCTACTGTAGGAGAAAACCGGAGTACCCGGGGAAAACCAACATGGTCGACAAGGTGGTCTCATACCTTTTCACGTCTGGTCCGGGAATCGAATCCCGGAGGCTGAAGTGTTTTTGTCGGTTCAAAATTTCGCTGTTTGACTATTTATTTGAAGAAAAATGAACGTGTTGTTGTTGAAAATAAAAAATATTATTTACTGTATGCGTTTTATCAAATAGGTATCAGTCCTTCTTTATTTCATACTATTTCAAAACTGGTGAAAAATGAAAACACATGAAAGTAGTGTGGTTTACACTGTGTATAGAAGTTGTTAGCGGTGTTCAGCAAAAGAAGCCTTTGTGATATAAAAAAGAATATTTAAACGTCACCATCTACCCACTTCTGATTTATATACCTTGGCTTTAGGTTACTATGATTGGACCCGAACATTCTTTACATATATATATTTTTTTCTTATTCGAAGAAAAGCATACAATAAAATGCTCCAAATCGAGGTTATTATCAAAAGCCACACAACAAACTTGGTTCACTGTTCAGATGAATAGCACAATTCATTGCCCATCTCCATCAATGTATATCAATCTTCATTATTCAAAAAAATCAGCATATGAATGTTTATCACTGAGATAAAGTAGAAATGTTTTTGAGTCACGCAGATGCTTCAAATAATTTCTATCTATTTCACAAAACATTGCATGGAAACCATCCATTCTCGTTTCTCTACAACATCAGCAACCATTTCTCGCGTTTTCAAAATCCTTCTTTCAACTGACTGTTGTCAAAACCACTCACTGCTCTAAACCACAAGCTGTTGTCATAGCAACGCAGCGGAGTAAATTACCCAGGAATCTTTTAGAAACGACGAAAAAAAAATTAAACTCTCAAAGCTAAAACGATTGATTATTTTCGCTTCAAACCGTATCTCTTCACTTTCATCCAGTCTTGTTGAATTCAAGAGCTTGGGGAATATACACAGCTCAATTAAGGACCCAATGGGAAGGAACATGTGTGTTTCTAAGTGGATGTTTGGTAAAACTCTTAGTTAAGCAGGATCCAGATGTAAACCGCATTAAATGTGTACATTGCTGAAACTGTGGAGGTGGTGAAAGAACTCTTTCTCAACATAACCTTTGGATCTGTTTCAAATATACAGTTCTTTGGCAATTAGCAGTTCACTCTACGCTATCTGATTTTCTAACAGATGAGGTGAAGCTATCTATCAATGACGTCACAAAATCAATATTTCCAAGATAATTATTTCAACAAATGCATAAAGTTTATCATTCAAATTTATTGCACATATCTACTGAAACGAATTGTAATTGGACGTTCCATTTTATATGTAACACAAACCTTTTTTTGGCATTTTTACTCTGTACTCAACAAATCCCTAAACACACTCCAAACCTTCTTTTCTCTATTTCAACTCGTAAATATCAACTTGTTAAAAGGCATGAAGCCATCATTACTTGTTTCTCAGAATTAACCTGTATGTCATTTTCACTTCGTGAACGGAAATCGAAATACCGTCAGGAAAGTGATTCCATACCTATTTTACATCTGATCGGGTACTCAAATCCAGACTGTCTTGGTGAAGGACGAGTTGATTATCCACTACGCTATCTAACATGTCATTTTTGAGGAATATTGTTCGGAAGGACTTCCTAATGCAAACTTGTTTTAAACCCACATTTTATGATAATTTCTGAACACTTGTTACTTTTTTATAGACCAGTAACATAGGTGATGCTTACCTTTAACTCTATTACTTCCACATATGTTGTCGAATGTCCCATTGCTTTTTGTTTTTGTACACCGACTGTCCTTTTCACAACTGTTAAATGACAAAAAGGTATACAGTAAAATATATGTCGACCCTTTACAGACAAATAGCTATATGAATTGTTCAATTATATAACGGAACAAGTTATAGGGAGAAATACAAAAAAGAAAAATAAATAAATAGTCAAATTTACACCATACAAATATAACAACAGAAACCATTCTTGGACGAATATAATAACAGAAGTAGTTGTATGTAGAAAGGTAGCAGAAATTGTCGAAAAATAAACAAAACTACATAAAAAATAACTACACAGTTTTTTGAGAAGTTTGACAAGAGTGACTTATCTCCAGAAGTTGACGTTGTTTATCTCTACTATTTCCAAAACACGGACCAGACTATAAACTTTGTTTCACCATGACCCATACAGATACTGGTTTAAATTTAGTGCCAGATACAACTGTCGAAATCTATTATGATAGTGCTCTCAAAATGCGCTTTATATAAAGTATAAAACTTCCATTCTAATAGCAGAGCCTTATCAAGCTGAGAAACACGAACGTAAACAACAGATAAGACAGAGAGAGAGGGAAATGGAAAGTGTATTGGAATGTCGGACAGAGACAACATATGTCAGTTTTTTTAACAGTACTTCGTCAATCTCTGGAATGCAACAGTGACCGATAACAGATATTGTAACATGTAGGTAACACTTGTGTTGTATTCAGACAATGCTTAAGACACAGCATGTGTCTAAAATTATCAGGAAAACTTAAAATAAATATGGAATAAGACTAGAATCTGATAGAAATCGATAAACACACTACTTTGTAGCAGGTCTGATATGGATCCACGAGAGAAGATGCTGACGGCCAGGTAGATAATAGAATCGTAAAATTACTGGCAAAGAATGCTTCAAGATGGAAAACAGAGAGCTATTTATAGGAGGTGTTGAGTATATACCGTCAGTGACGACAAGTTGGCCTGTTTTCGCAACGTGTATCAAATGTTTGTGATAAAGTAATTAAGTAGAAGTGAAAAACTGTGATACAGGCAGGTGTGAGGGATGTAGACGATCCTACAGGCTACGAAGTGCGATAAATGAGCTTGGTTACTGGCTTGGACTATTTTTGTACCGTTACTGTTGTGTTCTGTCGGGGTTTATTCCGGTTTTGTAAGAAGCTATAGTTGTGCTATACAAGATTCAATTCTCTGTTGTGTTTAAAAGCAAATTTATGAGTCATGTGTAAAATAGAAACTAAGTGTGAGATGTGAAACTGGTATTATTTTATAATCATACGATTCACTGCATGTGAAGACGGGGATTATTTGAATGTTGCGTGCACTATGAGATCTCAAAAATAAAAAGAATAAATACCGGACACACTTACAGTAATAATGGATGTTCAATGTAAAAGCTTTGCAGGCGTCCATCAATTCAATAATCTCATTTTAATACATGAAATGCATGTATTTTGCCTCCCACATTCCATTGCTTTATATGTGTATGTTAAGTTTATTCTGAGCCCACTGGTGATATCAGTAAGACCATTTAAGAATTTTAATTTTAACAGGTGTGTAGCTTTAAAACAAAATAACAGAAACCGAATAATCACAAGGAAAACCCATTTGTATGGATTGCAACTTCTAACCTAATTAGTTATGCATTTACGTTTCCTATGATAAGAGTTTATTGTTTATGATTACACCAGCTCACGTTGATGAGACCTGACATTTGCACTATCTTAACATAACCAAATCAATCGGTTACATCAGCTCCGACACAATTTGACGGCGTGCATTCAATACTGGAGAATTTTGGTTAAAATGAAAAGAAAATCGATTTTAGTGCTGCCTTTTTGGAAAGCTATCACCGTATACCCTAGTGGCGGGGTATACAGGCTGAGCTATGTACATCCTATATATATGTGTTACTCAGCAATGTCTATATAGACACACTGCTGGCGTGCTCGCATTCAAATTCGATTTTTCCAAGAAAGCTTGTCAACCATTCCCATTGCGTAACATATAGCATTCAATGAAACATTTATTTTCTAGGCTGGCGTTCACTAGGAAATCTAAAATGTATTTCTCCTGGTGGAATCACATCAGAGAATGTGGTCCATACGGACTTAAACGTTCTGGCAATGATCGATACCAACATCTCAATCTTTTCGCAAGACACAGAACAGTTCTTCAAGAAAGAATTTTCAAACGGTAGAAATGTTATTTGTAAATTCCTTTGAGATTCTTACAAAGAGTTGCGTTTTCGATCAACGACGTTTTAAGAAGTTGTGATAAAAGCTGCATAAAAATCAAAAAGAGACAGCAGTGTTGGTAACTTATAAGCTACAGAAACACCAAATGGGGCGGTGTGGGTAGGGCGAAGGGTTTAAAACAACATTACCTGTACTAATGGTAGGACATTACATATCACTCAATGACAGACTGTTTCACTTTAACAAAATTCAAGTACAGTGTTTGTTTGCTTTATTTTTGCTTTTTTAAATTATTTAAAGGTCAACCCGACCATTTAAGTCGTACATGGCTTGGTTTGAAAGGAACGTGCACACATATGCACATTCGAAATACCTTATGTTGAACTGAAATCAGTGTCTCGACAAACGTCATATTTAACCCATATTCCGAGAAACGTAACTTTCGTTATAGTTAATACTTACTTTGTTAAGGGCTGGCATCTCTGGATTTTGTCCTTTTTGTCTGAGTACATGTTGATGTCAATGCATTTTTCACATTTCCCTGTGAAGGAAAATTACAATTAGTTACTATTGTTTTAACATAATTAATTGTAGCCAACATGTCAACAGTTGATGTTTTATGACCTTTGATATTTTGGTACATGACATTCGCTCCATTTAACAATTCAGCTTCGATTAAAAATTTCAACAAAGAGAAATTACATTTTTCATTTATTTATATATTTATAAATATTATTTTTACTTTTACTGACATTAAATTTTAATGTTTTATTGATTTCCAATCATTTACCATAATCCCCTTGTCCATATCCTTTGTCGCATACTTTATTTGGTACGCATGCGCGCTGGTCTATGTTTTCGAAGTGAAAGCCTGGACTACACTTGCAGTCTGCGTCCCTGATAGTACTACCGTAGTCCTTGTAGGTCATGTTCGGCCGGGAATCACACACCTTCCTGAATAAGACATTTATTAAGGTATATAATAACAAGCAAACATGAAATGTTTCCGTATCAAAATCTATAAATAAACTTTGTGTCATTTGTTTATAAATGTACGTGTGGTACATGTTATCTTTATACTACTTTTGATTTTTACAATGGCTGAACATTAATTATTCAGTTCAAAGACATTTTTTTAGAATACTTAAAAGATTTACCTGAGACGGCATTTGTCTCCCCAGACATTTCTGTCCGGTTGGAAGGTGGCGTCCGAGCACTGCTTACATTTGAATGACCCCGCCTCCTCCGGGCATGGCGCCATCTCGTGTCCTGTCAAATAGAAGACAGAAACATTTTAGACTTCTGTTTTAGAAACGAAACGTGCTGTTTTAGATCGATTTCATTTCAGATCACCTGTTGTATGTATTTTCTCTCTATTTTCAGCCAACGAATTGTGTTACCTAGACAGAAACTTCAGGCAAAGTATACAATTAAAGACGCCAAAAGCGTCCGAAGTCAGTAAACATTTTGGCGGTTAATCACTCAGGCGGGGACCATCGATTTTCAAGATTTTGCGTCTTCCTTAAAATGGATTGGAAGTCACACTAGTGGTTAGGTAATGACATCGCGGACATAACACAACATGTAATATGATATCGTCATGTTTTCTTTCGACAATTTATCACGTGTCACTATTGACAGAATCAATGAACGAAACTGAAGACAAAACAATTGATCACATGGTTACATCTCAGTTCGTGTCTACAATTCGCTTTCAAATGATAACATATGGTTTAGTTATAATGGTGATTCCTGTCAACATAACGCTAAACACTCTACACCTGACATTAAGGGTAATGTACTAGAATCAATCGCTCATCTGACAACGTTATTCGAAATGCAAATTTGAGTCAATTTCGTGTTATAAATGATTAGTGCAAGAGAATAAAAAAGAATCTACTAATTACCAAACGGGCTTGTGAAACAAATCCGGAAAGAACTGCCATATTACACACAAGTACTAGTTTGAACCTTGTTGTGCTAACATACACGTTCTTCGTCAAATATTTAAACACTACTTGCAACAGTTAAATCAGCCCGTCTTTACACTGTTACACTGGTTAGTCTGCTGTTTTATGGAGACAGATAATATGTAATTGACTTTAAACCGGATTCATTAAAACAGTTTCAATTAATTATTTCAGAGAAATTAAATGTCATTCATATCAAGCTTGCCGTATTCGACCGCTTGTCCATATCACCAAAACCAGTAATCACTCCATTTTAACCCATCATATCTTCATCTTCATCACATTGACAGATAATTCTATACAATGTCTTTGCCTTATGGTGTTGCCTCAACGTAAGGTGTTATGATCATTGGGGGAAATCCTTTTTTTTTCATTTTACCTTTACCAATGGGACAATTCTACTGGATAAATGTTATAATTTTACAGACCTTGGTTAATATTGGGAATTACGGGTTTCTAGTCTTCATACACATGTGAAGTATTTAGCAAGTTCCAAGACGCTACCAGACAATGTTATCTTTCTCTCGATGGTTCGTAAGAAATTATTTGAGAAGTTGGGCGGACGAAAAACAGACTGTGCGTCACGGAATTAAGCAGGAAGAGACAGTCCTGAGGTGGCGTAAAGCGATCAGGTAACAAACCCAGAAGTTCTTTCTAGTGATCGTTACAAAGCAGTTCTATCAAACGCTTTTGAATGGGGCTCCCAACGGGATATTTTTATATCATCAATAAATCACCATTACATGTTAGACCCATCTCGTGCAGCATTAGATCATTTGTTCTAGCTCTCTCGTTGCACTATTGATCTACGCTTTTTTCCTGTCGAGTAGGTCTGATCTAAAGGGATTTCTTAGTTCTCATATTTCTACATTAACAATGACCAATATGTTATTTTCAGACAAGGCAGCAGATTAATGAAGGGGTAGACTTAAAATGTGCTAAACCATTCAGATAAACATAGAAAAAATCTACCTCTTAACAGTCAAGAACCTCGAAATAAAAACGAATTCTCTTAAAGTTGGACAACTTTTCTAGACACCAGAGCACAACAACAACAACAAAAAAAAAAACAAAACAAGAACAAACATACAATACGATAATACACCATACAAGTATCAGCTCTCCTGTGTGTACCCCACTGATAAGTATATCCATTAAAATTCTGGCATCATATTTTGATATTTTGATTTTAATTTTTTTAAATCGAGTTCTAGGAGAGTTCTGGTTATCAGGACCTAACAACAGGAGAATTTGTTTTATTTGGCCAGTAATCTCGCTACTAGAGTGATTATGTCGGGTAAACCATTAGAGTGATTACATCAGGTAAATTTACACAGACATTTTAATGACGACCTTACTCGGTGATGAACCACCGTTAGTTCATTTCCATGACAGCTCGGACATTTTTTGTCAGCTCACTCACTATCATTTCATTTGATTATATCATCGTTAAAGTTGCACGAATCCGACAGACATTTAGTTCCGAACATATACTGGATAATTACGTCCATATCATTTACTATATAGACCACACTAATTAACAAGATATGTGGATTTAATGAGACGACTTAGCAATATTCGATAACAAACTTCCAGGTTCCCAATTCTCTTATCAATTAAGTCGTACTACTTCTAATATGATGATAACCATGAAGCCACGATCTGACCAATACTCTAATCTAATAATACCACTGATCAGACAAAGAAAAATCGAACTGTGCGTGTGCTGTGAGTAGATCGACTCTAAGCCTCCAATACATCCTCGAAAGAATGGAAGGACATATATACAGCTCAACAGCATTCAACATTATAATTGGGCTTCGTCGGACCAAAAGCCATTGGTCTTATTATTTCAGTGTCCAATTCCCAAGATAATCTCTCGTCCCGATCGACCACAGCCGCTTGTGACGCGTAATGGAGGTTTGGCATGCATACGAATGCACGAGTAGATTTGTCTTATTGTAAATGGACCAGTGTATTGTGGTGCTGTAACAACTTCGAGACTCACTGAACGTCTCTCGTCTTCATTATCCCATTCATTTTACTGAAAACAATATCTCCTACAGATTCAACAAACGTTGGGGGATCAGGCATGCTATCATAACAAAAAGTTCGGAACAGGGAAAGTATCATATTAATCATACGTGTTTAGCATACGGTGAAACAGTCCTTGTTGTTGTTAAAGAGACAGGTAAGGTCTAATTCAGGAGTAAGGCGTAACTTTAAATCTGAACGTTATAATTAGATAAATCGTTCCCGTATCAGAAACAGGAAACCAAATTAAGAAATAAAAACAATGACTTCACCAGTCGAAAATATTTAAAATCCAAGTCACCTTCACTGTCGTCAAGTAAATCGTGTCCCCTTCTATAACTAAACAAAGCTCTTCAAGATTAAGTGGTAACCCCCACCCCCCGCACTTACACCAATAGTTGGTAAATACACTTTCTTGATTGATATACTAACGTTAACATCTTTAGGGTGCAAGCGGCAAATTCAACATTATGATGACAAAGATGTGCACTAATCTTGTCTTTTATGACTTAAGGCGTCTACTATGTGCCTGTGTTTTTGATGACTTAACTCTACATGTATGTGTTTCTTTGTGTCTGATAATGTATACCTGTTTGGTACATTGACAATACAGTTCTAGCTACCCAGACTACATTTTGTTTAACAGGCCCTTTGTCACAACCAATGTTACAGATATATCGATAACGATGTCGAACAAACAACAGTGCTTGTAGAAACACACAAGATTTTTTACCAGAAATACAAGTCGCTTGCTCGTAATAGACGTCTTAGTATATTTCATTGTACACAATTTCAAACAAAGTTTTTTTTTACGTTTGAACTTTTCTTGTTTCCTAACAATAGCTAAGATCCTACATATGTTGTGTATTTGTAAATGTAAAACAGTATAGTTTTTATCGTCTCATAATCTTTGTTACATATACTGGAGCTCATAAAAGCGATTGTACGAATGATACGGCAATGTGACTTTGTGTAGATGTCTGCTAAGTCTGGTGTCAAATTCCATTGTGTTAGGTCTGTATGACATTGCGAACATCCTTCATTCCTTATTTTCAGTCGACTACCCATAAACGTCTTTTTATGTATATTGTTTTACACTAACTACAATGCTTTGGCTTTCTATCTTCTTTCAGATAACACTCGCACCACTTACACAAGTAAAATATAAGCAGCCTGGACACCACGGATATCCGTAGCCCCTGTACCATAATTATACTTCAAAATTTATTGGTCCTTCCAAAATATTTTATCTGTAATTTGCTTATATGAATCCCTTCTCTGCAACTTTTGAGTAAACAGTATGTAATATCGATTTCAAAATCCTATTTCGCTACGTCTACTTTAATCCTTCCCCGAGACCCTTTAGCACAGCGCTGATATATATGAGACTTGGCCCCCAGGGACCTGAATGAAGATAAGACCATACGACGGTGGCATCTCTTGTGTGTTTTCTGTTTCTATTTACCAAGTAGCTGGATGTTACAAAGCCCACTACCTATTGATTTTCTGTGTTTGTTTCTGGTCAACACCATCCGTCACTGAGCACTATTGCAGGAGATTCCGCGCGCGACTACTCTCTAACACTTGTCATTTCTCACGCCTGTCCAATGTCACACAAAAACCAATGATACAGGACATTAAAGGCTTTGTAGCATCGTGCTCAAAGACAAAATGAAATATTGATGCGATTTGATTAATTAGATTCATGTTCCCTCAGGTTTCAGTGAATTGTCTTTATATATGAGCTTACCTATAGACAGAAAAATGTTACAACATGTGAGGATGTGATCGGAAATATTTTGTTATACAAGTCAAACCGTCCGAGAGCTATTTACAACAATGAATGCAACTAAGTGATTCTGTGAAAGGTTTTTTCTTTGCCAATGATTAAATGTACACAGAAAACTTTTTAATGGAACTCTTTAGAACGAATTTTAACACACAGAGTTGATTGAAAGAAGAAATGATTAAGAATTTAGACGATTTCCAAAAATCTCAATCTTCCAATCATTCCCCGCCGATGTCCAAATGGCCGAGACACCCGTCTTAATTTAAACATTCTACAAAATAAGTTAACACTGGTTGCATGACGTCATTACTGATAAGAAAGATAGGACAACCCAGTAGGACTTGTATAGACGGATTTGTTACCTCACCCTGCTACCTAAATAAAAGGCCCGCCAGTATATCATTTAACAACTACATCTGTAGGACCAGAGATTTGGGTCCTCACCGCCCTCAGCGCCAGCTGCTTGTATGGAACATGGAACCACGGATCAATACAAACCTCAGAAGTCCAACTGAGACTTCGTATCTTTTCGGTTTATACTGCCGCATTGCTGCTCACAAGCCAGCAATGCGCTGTGCATACTTGTTTTGAAATCCCTGTTTATCTTAAAGTCAGACATTTTTTTATTTCAATATAACTGATTGATCTCCAATGTCAGGTCTTTTCAAACTGCGATGTTTTCAAGTTCTGTTATCCGTACGGAGTAATGAAGTTCGTCTCTTACACCCCGAGTTCTCCAGAAATAGTTCTAGTGGTCCGTGTGGTCTTTTGACTGTATTCCAGAAAATCAGCAACCAAACAACGTCTTTGTTCATACTGTCAAAGATTATCGACATTTTCCGAACATTTATCAAGTTTGACCAAATAATGAAATCGTCGCCTATCCATTTCCGACCAATCAAACTCGCAATGAATGCTGGGACCATCAATATATACATGTGCAGATCGGTTTAATCACGAAACCGGAAATTGGTCTGTCCTTCTAAGGAAAGTCTCGCGAGAGTCGATATGTCACGGTATCGGAGTCGTACATACACAGCATCGGCATCTCCTGCGACGCAGGTCTGGAAATGTAAACCAGTCATACTCGAACCATTCAAATATCGTCAGCGTTCGTAGAAGTTTTGTAGCAATAAAATGATTTATTTAGGAAACAGACTATTACTTGCGGTAAAAACGATTGAGATTAATTCAAATTCTTGCATTTATACGAGATGTATTTTATGCATCAGAAAACTGCCTTAAAGAATGCAGGCGCAGTGTTGAAAACCCCTCAGTATGATGAATTTCTTTTCAAAACTAGTTTATGTTTATAAAAAGATTTATCCTCCGTCTTTTGTCCCTGATTTGTGTAACATAACACTCTGTGTTTGACACTGTAGCCCCGCGTCCCTTCACACAATGGAGCCGAGAACGACACCTTATGAACACAGAGATACAGTCGGGCCGTGTTTCACTTGTTTTGGTACATTCCTATAAAAGATCTTCTCTCTTACCTAAATTCTAACGTGACTGCACCAATTGCCACGCCATAGGCCTAGGAGTCTCCTACAATTCGTGACATGGACAGCTGGATCTTTTAAGATAATTAAGTTTTTCGTGCATATTCTTGTATTTCTCAGAATTAAAACACCCTTCCATAAACTTTAAATTCCGAAAAAAGTAAAACTCGCAAAAATAGTTAACTGTATGATCAAGAAGCTGGTACGTTTTGTTGATGTCTATAGAGTTCAGTCAGTGTATACTACGAGTGATCCAACTATCTATCTGATATTTCGTTTCACAAGATTTCATTCTGACCCCAGTAAGTTTTCTAGAAACAGCCTTTTCAAATCCATTCAGTGCATAAAAAATGAAAAAATAAAGATAGCCTGTCTTACAAATTGTGCATTCTGACCTTGCTTTCCCTCGTACAAATATTGCGGATATCATACCAGATACCAAACTCGTACACATGTATTTGTAAATATGCAACTAACGTCGACCGTTCCACTGAGAGTAGTTTCTCGGTAATCCGTAAACCAAGTGTTGGCAGAAGCCCACGTCCCAAGTAATTGGTCTAAATAGCAGGTACGACGAGACTCTGCTGTCGAGTGTTTGCTAGTGTAGGTAACACTACCTGCCTAATAGACTCTTTGTTTTTCATCAATGGGAATGCATGTACTCTACTAACTTTTATCTTCTTTGTACCTTGTGTGTTACATGCAGTGTAAATCAGACACAGCACGTGAAATGCACAAGAGAGATTAACATGCAAGTGCAGAAAAAATCTGCCCGTTACTTTTCTATCTGTCCGGATACAAAACATATAAAGTCTCCGTCTCCGACATGTTAAAGTAACACTGGCGCCACATACAAATTGTAGAATGTTTGAAATTCTTGTGGCAGAGCTTGAAGTGCGTACTGTGCAGTAAGTAAGGCTCGTGATAAAATCGTTTCAGAATTCGTGTCCAACCATTGATAGAGTAATTCATTGTTAGCAAATTTGATTAAAAAACCTATTTGTAAAATGCAATACAAATTCATAGGGGGTAGCACTTCGACACATCGATGTTATATATTAGATCATTATAGTGCACGACATGATACCGGCATTTTAGCGGCTAACTCAGGACTACAATCAACCGCCATGTCAGAACTATCCGCTCATGACAAATACCAAATGACTTCAAATAAAAAATCCTATTTCCCATTAATGTTGATTATAGAAACAGTATCCCAACAAATAAGTACATAATGATGGTAATTAGTGCTCGGAAAATTGGATTTTAATGACCGTACGAAAATGTAAGGCTTTACTAACGGCTAATTTATAGGTACAGTACACGGCCCAAACATTTCAATTTTAATGGACAGTTTCGTTTTCATATCAAACTTTATACTGTTGTATAACCGTACGTGTCACTAATTATCGTAGCAAACGAGAAAATAAAAACCGGAAGGTATCAATGTTATGTATGTAATCTACATATTGTTATTTCAAACTTCATGAAATCTTAAAAAATAAAAACTGTTATAACTTTAATGTAATGCAAACCTCTCTGTAGAGCTAGGCACTACAGAATGTGTCGTTTATCATTCTTCCCTACCACGATCCCACATTAGTTATACTGTTACAAATCACATTTACTGGACGGATTTGACAGTGGTTTTCTGCTCGGGAACATTCCCTGATTTCCATAATAATTACGACCTATGGCCGTTGTGTATAGCCCAGCGATAATTCTGCCAGTCTCCCGAAGGCCGCAGTGCCATAATTTCCTAGCCGTGTGATGAATAATTCGATGTTATGTAGATCCCAGTAACACGGCGACTGTTTGTCACCCGTGTAGATCCTTGTCAAACGAAATTGGAGAATTTACATGTATTTGTATGTCGAGATAAAATGTGGAGAATCTGCAATGAGAATACCACTTGTCATACCGTTAACCATATCTCTGATTTACCAGTCATTGTTTCATTCGATACTAAGATAAAAGTGCAATTTTGTCACAAACGCGTTGCACGGTAGACTGAGCAATACCGCATTTCCATTTATAACTGTATAAATCACAATGCGGTCTACAGAAACATTAAATTTCAGCTGGGAAGGTGATTTGAATATTACGTAATTTCCATGTAATTCAGTTGTTCTTCTAAACAGGGTACAGAGAGTCACAACGATAACTACAAGCCACAAATAGAACCGCGTAGTATTACATACACACTAAAGCATTGCACAATCAAAATATGATCACGAACGCTTCCTCTACTAGAACGATCCGAACCCATTAAGACACAATGTTTACGTAGTCACTGACATGTATAAAGCGTAACCATCGTGTGATGTTTTACTTAATTAAGCACCTGCTGCAAACTACAAAGCTACTAATACATGTGTAGAAACGTCTTTTACTTCGCGCTTAGTTTAAGTTTAAACATTGTTCTTATTAAACAATTGCAATATTACACACATCCTTCACACTTAGTTTTCGTTTAAACAATAGTTTGACTCAATATATTCAATACTATTACACATCCCTCACGCTTAATTTAATATTCTAATTCAGTATATACAACAATTTAACACCCACGTAATAATACTACAAATAGGATGGGAAAGCAAACCCAGAGTTTATACATTTCACTAAAACTGTTTATTATTTATCATTTCTTGTTTATATCACACTTCTATACATTTGCTGTTTAGACTCGTATGATATAACAATCTGACAAAATTTTTGTTTAGTATGAACATTTTCTGCTGAACTATGGTCTGTTGTGACAGGGGGTCGTTATCGACAGGTAGTCGTTAAGGACAGTGTAATCGTACGAGTCCTACCTTGCGGACAGTGGTCGAGTTGTGTGGCACATTCTTGTGAGAACTTCCCTTGTGCTGGTCCAATCTGTGGAAGACAAACAATACAAATATTATCAAAATGTGTCTGAATGTTGTTGTATCTGGTTCCGATTTAACCGACCCCAATGTCACTTACTTCCGTGTACATTTCGAGCAAGTTTTAACTTACACAATTACCCTTGCTGTGCACCCACCAAATGTTAAGATAACATTCTTTTGAACTCTCCGATACGTTTGGACACGTTCGGAGAGATAAAACAGTTTCAGTGAATTCGAAACACTTTTATAGATAGCACACGCTTTCTGAGTATAGATTCGCTGTATTAAAATTAGGGTTCTAGACCCAATTACATTTTTCACTCGCCCACTGAAATACTCTCTAACAAAATCATAACTTTAACTTGTCCAATCCGATACTCTCAAACTACGTCATAACTTTAACTTGTCCGTTCAGATACTCTCCAACTAAGTCATAACTTTAACTTGTCCAATCAAATACTCTCAAACTACGTCATAACTTTAACTTGTCCGTTTAAATACTCTCCAACTAAGTCATAACTTTAACTTGTCCGTTCAGATACTCTCCCGATTCAATGACATCTTTACTTCTCCTGTTCAATACTCCCCGGACTCAATCATAACTTTAATTCGTTCATTCAGATGTTCTTTGACGTTTAAATAAAGCGCGGCATCTAATATTGCACAAGCTTTGTATGCAATATGTTATGCAATATTTTATAAGCTTCCCGCTTTCCCAGTTACAACAACCCAAAGCATGTCATATAGACTTGTAAGAGAAATAACAATGGAATTGTCTTTACCTTTGTCAATATCATACTGGCATTCGTTTGATGTCAGTTTCTGTATTTTAAAACAAAGTACAAAGTACGACCTGATGTTGGGTGCAAACTTATTTTTGTATGGCTCCATGTTTCTGCTTTATCGCGAAGGTCTCTTATCATATTCTACTTTAATGTTACCCATTAAAATGTACATGCTGGTCTTTATAGGCACAGCAACCTTGTACTGTTGTTATTTACATACAATAATGAGGTACTCCGGCCAACACCGCCAGTATACTGGTCATTAAAACACCTGTAGTGGTCATTTAGATCTGTCAGGTGCGAGAGTAGGTAAACAAACAACAGAGTGCCACATCCGATCAGTGGATGGCCTCAGTTTTGTACTCAGTTCTCATGTTAATATATACTGTCTCCGGATTGAAATTTGAAATTTGAACAAAGATGCAATATTCAGCATATATCTTGGTTTTTCGAATTTCGAATGGATTTTTGATGATCTATTAAGACTGTACAACCAATGCTTTAATAAACAATCATTTCATCAGGTATTGTTGAAACCAAATTTTAAGAAGCACGCACATGTTTGGAGAAATTATCTTCAGACAAGAATTAATAAAAATATTTTAGGTTATCGAAAACAAATTGGACAAGAATACATTTCAAAATGTAAATTGAGCGACTGATGAAGTTGCTGATGCTAGAAATAGTCGAGTTCCTCACGATAAAGTGGGCAAGTAGCCGTCTTCCGGTAATTTATCATATTACTGTCAAAATACAAAGCCATCGCTGAACCTTCGCATACGAACCCTAAATAACACATTAAACTTCGGCTAGGCTGTTATTGATGGAACGTAGAATTGTTCACAACAATAATGAAAACATAAAGGTATTTCACAAAAAGAAAAATTGAATGTTTTCTAAGCAATCTTAAATACAGTCGAAATTCACCCGGAATCTGATTGGGTTTCTAACGTTCCCAGTTGGTAAAGACGTCATTAGCAATTACTCTTTACGATGAAAAACACAAACCTTCCCTACATAATTGACGAACCGCGGCAGAGACTAGTTACAGAACTGACAATGGCCAATTATACCTCATTCGTTTCCAGCATACGCCATGAAATGCTCTCTACTTTTAACTCAAAGGCCTGTGCCTTCAATCTTGTGTTTAGAAGTTCCCACAAGCAGGTGCGCGTTTGCGATCTGTAGTTATGCAGTCTGGTACATTGGTCTTCGAGATTCTATATCTGAGGGTTCATCCGATACATACCATTCGAGGAAAACGACCTTACGGCATGCGTGACTACTTAAACATCTTAACTTTGGCAAATTGTACCCATCTTCATATACTCATCAATTGTTGGGTCAAGCAGTTGACTTTCTATACTCGGGAGATATTTAATGTTTCATTATATAAAATTACAGGGGATTTGCAGTCCGTCTGGTATGAAAACGATCTGAAAGTGGAAACGCCATTAGTAGTCTGAGAGGGGATACCATAAAGGAAGCGCAATCCTTTGGAACTAGACAATTGCATGAGATCTGCTGTATCAGTAATGGCGGTCTGATACAGTGGACTTAAACGCACCGACTACACGAATGCCAAGCACAACGAAGGTCTATATAACAGAATTAACGACAAACGTCCGTCCTTGAAACAACCGACACATATTCAGAACAATAAGATAAAAGTCGTTAAAAACAATAAAACAAAGTTATGTTACCAGGAATTAGATAAACAGCAATAGAAGGAAACGAGCGGGACGTCTCTGCGACAGTTAATTGTCTATAGCTCAATTCGTTTCTGTAAGAGTTCTCATGTATAATACAAGGAAAGACATCAAATGAAACCTTATTTCAACACCATAAAATTATAAGTGTTATTCCGCAAGTGAAATCTCACATACCTCATTTGTAATTAGCCATAATGCGTGTATAAATAATGAATAGACCCTGGCAAAGGAAAGTGTGTTAATATCTGTGTTATGGTGAGGCTAAATCAACAGTAATGTCATTTTACATGTAAAAAAACAGTATTGACATCAAAACCATACACCATACTAAGTCTGTATTTACACCAAAACCATACACCATACTAAGTCTACATTTACACCAAAACCATACACCATACCAAGTCAGTATTTACATCAAACCATAGACCATACTAAGTCTGTATTTACACCAAAACCATACACCATACTAAGTCTGCATTTACACCAAAACCATACACCATACTAGGTCTGCATTTACACCAAAACCATACACCATACTAAGTCTGCATTTACACCAAAACCATAGACCATACCAAGTCAGTATTTACACCAAAACCATACACCATACTAAGTTTGCATTTACACCAAAACAATACACCATACTAGGTCTGCATTTACACCAAAACCATACACCATACTAAGTCTGTATTTACACCAAAACCATAGACATTACTAAGTTTGTATTTACACCAAAACCATAGACCATAATAAGCCTGTGTTTACACCAAAACCATAGACCATACTAAGTCTGCATTTACACCAAAACCATAGACCATACCAAGTCAGTATTTACACCAAAACCATACACCATACTAAGTCTACATTTACACCAAAACCATACACCATACTAAGTCTACATTTACACCAAAACCATACACCATACTAGGTCTGCATTTACACCAAAACCATACACCATACTAAGTCTGCATTTACACCAAAACCATATACCATACCAAGTCAGTATTTACACCAAAACCATACGCCATACTAAGTTTGCATTTACACCAAAACAATACACCATACTAGGTCTGCATTTACACCAAAACCATACACCATACTAAGTCTGTATTTACACCAAAACCATAGACATTACTAAGTTTGTATTTACACCAAAACCATAGACCATAATAAGCCTGTGTTTACACCAAAACCATAGACCATACTAAGTCTGCATTTACACCAAAACCATAGACCATAATAAGCCTGTGCATTTACACCAAAACCATACCAAAACAATACACCATACTAAGTCTGCATTTACACCAAAACCATAGACCATAATAAGCCTGTGTTTACACCAAAACCATAGACCATACTAAGTCTGCATTTACACCAAAACCATAGACCATACCAAGTCAGTATTTACACCAAAACCATACACCATACTACACCAAAACCTGTATTTACACCAAAACCATAGACCATACACCAAAACCATAGACAATACCAAGTCTGTATTTACACCAAAACCATAGACCATACTAAGTCTGAAAACACCGTGTATTTCGAGTATGTCCCAGTTATACGATACAAACAGTTACAGAGAATCTATAAATGTTGTACTGTGTTCACGAGTGATACAATGTCCATCTTTTCTAACGGCTTGAACAGCTTGTCAATTTCCTTAACGAAAATCAAATATTTGTTTATAAAGACTAACATCCGTCTGTTTCCCAAACTGCCTAGAATCATTGACCAGCTCACTATCGTTACAGGGTGTTGGAGAGTACAGTTATAGGTAGTCAATATTGAGTTAACTCGAGAGAACAGGAAAACTGTAATGAAAACAACACTCATACACAGGATACAAAAGCCTTTTAACAAATTGGTTCGCTTCGTGTTCAAAGATGTCCTGAAGACATAACTGAAGTGAAATATTGCCAGGAATCAAGTGACAAGTGTATGAGTTATCGATTTAGTTTACATTGGTCTCCATGTCGAGTTTTGATCAAACCATAACAACACATATGATTTATGTTTCATGTCGGGGAAAGTTTCTTCAGTCTTCCTCAAGGAAATAATGACTCGGTTTATGTTTTAATGGTTTATACAGTCAACACTATCAATCTGCATGACGTAATCAAATTTATCGCACTAGCAGTTTTAGCAACCGCGCGTAATGATGAATTTGCGCAGCAGAAAGAATTATGATTTCAACAAAAGTAAATAAAATCAGCGTAAATTAAGTACAGCAATTTCAGAGTGAAAAATGTATTATCTAATTTCAGAGATTCAAAAACACAGAACGTGGGCGTGACCATCCCCATAATCCTTCTTGGGTGATGGTATCTGGTAAGTGTAAGAGAGAATATCAACATTCTTGATACTGGAGATCACAATTCCCTGTACTGTATGTCACATACAAATGACGGATAATAAACTCAACGCCGGACACGCAAGTCACACAATTACGGGAAATGCCTTTAGATATTTTGTACGATGTAGTGGGAGACTCGACTGAGTCACGCTGA